AGTGGGTTCCAGCCTGGGTTTTCAATTTTCTTCATTTTTTTACATCTTTTGGCTTTATTCAAATTTCTCCATTTTTACAGTGCTGTAAACGCGTTAGTGGGAATCAGAAATAAGTGTGCTAGCGGAGGACAAATGTACTTTCGGTACTAAATGTTCCTCAAACACTCACGCTTCCGCAGAATGCGCGAAGAAATTAGGATGAAAGGACGGTATAACTTCCTGCAAAAACCACAAAGACGAAATTTGTATGGACGACATGGAAGCCCAACAAGGCTAATAAAAGTTCAGTTCCTGACGAGCCGCAAAAGTAAGTGCAAAGGGAGCAAATTTTGTGTAAAGGAGCGTTATGCTCGAAACAGAACAAGAACAAAGTGGGGAGAATAACAAGCAACAGATTTTGCCGCAAACCAGTCTGTAGCAAAAAGTGGGCAGAATAGTTCTTTCCGACCTGACGAATGCCAGTGCTCTGACAAGGAGGTACCATTATTGAGGATTTCTTTGCCAAATAAAACTTTAAAAGATTACCGAGCCTTTGGCAACCATTTGCATCAGCACAATAAACATCAAAAACACTGCCATTTTGGCAGAGCAGTGTCGAGTCACCCTACAAGCTGGACCAGTTCTTCGTTTCGTACGGTTCTTAGTTGGAAGCACGAGACACTTTTCCGTTTTTTCATCAACTCCATTAGCACACCCTTGCTCCAGCATCTGAATTCAAAGATATAAAATATAGCGAAGCTCTCCCAGACTTGCCGCAAATTAGAAACCAGAACGTAGAACTTTTATATACAGCAAAACCAGTGCCAGCGGATTAATATGCCTTTCCATGAAAAAAGCGAGGACACACACCAGAGGATAAATCAAACTTTTTTGAATGAATCAGCATTTTCAGTATATCATGGCATTTCCATACACGAACGTAAGGGTGGTTTGAGCGTGTAGAGCAGCAAACGATAAGCCGCATTTACAACTATGAAGAGCAACAGCTCTCATCGCAAGCGCTTCCATCGAATGAAAGTGATGGCACATGAGCCCACAGCCAAATTTCCGACAAACCCTCAAGCACAAACACACCTATTGATTCCGATATGGCATAATCCCTAATACTATACTTCGTTTTATGCTAATTAGGTTTCCTCTCGATCTTCGGTTAAAGGCAGACAAAAAATTAGATATATTAATCCTGATATATATTAAAAAATATATATATGTGTATGAAATATAAAGAAATGTGTATAAAATATAGGGAATATATATATACATATATATACATATATATATATATATATGTATATGTATGAGATTATATTAAAAGGCTGCGTGTCTTCTACTTCTGTGTTGTGGAATGGAAAGCTGGGAGAACGGTGCATCACAGACTGCAATGGAAAAATACTACAGTGAGGTTATCGAGAAGCAGCTATCGCTGTTGCACCAGTACTAAATATTGCCATACAAACGTCTACTATGGCTTTTGCAAAATAACTCAGGTAGCGCGCCTTCCCTACTTCCGATAAATGCATTTTTGTGCTAAATTTGAATCAATCAGATCATAAACAGTAATAGTTTTTGCTTCATTTTAACACGTGCAATCATACTGGCAATGTTCTGTTCTTTCCCTGCACAAAGGGGAAAAGAAAGTAAACTAGGGCGAAAATGTAGCATCGTGGATTCGAGTAGAGTCTTGCCGATTACAGTGAATTTTGCTTGAAGGTTTTGTCGGCAGGACGCATCGCCAAATTTTCTGTATCCACAGGTGAAATTTAGGCATTTATAAAAGTTGATTTTAGCTGTCATTGGCGCAAAGATAGGCAAGCATTGACATAAAATTTTTGCTTTCTTCGGTGTTTAAGCACCGAGAGAGAAGGACGAAAAAGTATCACAGTCTGCACATTTGACGCACCCGTGTGTGACTACACATATAAAGGCAGAAGGTTAGTTTTAAGTTTAAAGACTTTCACACGGATAGCAAACGATCCCACTAAATTAAATACACAATTCTACAAAGTTAAATTCAGTCCGCGGATAAGCCTACTTTCATTTGCTGACACGTGAAATTTTTGGTAGGAAACACAGAAACGCGTACTGTGACGAGCCATGGTGTGCGCATGCGTGTATGTCTGTGCTTGCTTATGTACGTGTGTGCATCTGTCCGAGCATTTCAATTCAGTCTTGCCAATAAGTTCCTTTGCCTAGCGCCGCTCTGGAACGCGGTGCAAACTTTCTTGCTTGTCTAAACTCGGGTGCGGGAACGCGAAAGTTTTGGCCGGAAAATTCCTGGCTTAGAGACGATAAAAGCTGGGAAGCTGAAGTTTCAGGTTTATGCTTCCCGTCCACTTGCAACTTAAAGATTTCAAATTCAGCTCACGCGTAAGTGTGTTTCTCTCATGCAAATATGTGAAATTTTTGTCCGCCCAAGAACTAGAAGCCCGAGAACTAGAACAACTAGATCATTTTGAATGATCAACCGCTCAACGGAAATTGTTTATTTTCCTTTATG